GGAGGAAGAGAAATCCACAGGCAATATCTCTGATGAATATAGCTGCAAAATTTTTCAACGAAAAATGAGGAAACCAAATTCAACAATACATCAAAAGGAGCATACATAGTGATCAAGGGGGTTTACTCCAGGAATGCACAAGTAATCCAACATCAGCAAATCAATCAGTGTGATACACCACATTAAAAACATGAAGGATAAAATCGTAGGATAATCTCAATAGATGCAGAAAAAGCATTTCCTAAAATTCAACATGCTTTCTTGATGAGAACTCTCAACAAAGTTGATATAGAGGGAAAGTAACTCTTCATAATAAATACCATAACAAGCTCATAGCTAACACAATAAATAATGGTGAAAACCTGAAAACTTTTCCTCTAAGGTCATGAGAAAGGCAAGGATGCCACCTTTTACAATTTTTATACAGCATAGTCCTTAAAGTTCTAGTCATAGGAATTAGACAAGGAAAAGAAATTGAAGGCATTCAAACTGGAAAGGAAGAATAAAATTGTCTCTATTTTCAGCTAAGATGATATTACATTAGGAAACCCCAAATATTCCACAAGAAAACAGTTAGAACTAATAAAGCAGTTCAGTAAAGTTGCAGAATAAAAAATCAATATATCATATGATCCAGTGATTACACTTCTGAGTGTATATTGAAAAGAAATGAAATTCCAATCTTGCAGAGACATCTGCACCTTCGTGTTCGTTGCAGCAATGTTTACAATAGCCAAGGAACAGGAGTCATGAAAAGAACCTAAGTGTCCGTTGATGGATGAATGGATAAAGAAATTGTAGTCTCTGTTTATACAGCGGAATGTTATTCAGCCACAAAAAAGAAGGAAATCTTGCCATTGACAACAACATACATGAAACTTGAGGGCATTACACTAAGTGAGATAAGTTAAGCAGAGAAGTAAAATTCTGTATAATCTCACTTATGTGTGGAATCTAAGAAAACCAAACTCATAGAAAGAGAGAACAGATTGGTGGCTGCCAGAGGGAATTAGCAGGAGGGGGAAACAGGTGAAAGTGCTCAAAAAGTACAAATTTCCAGTTATAAAATAAGTTCTGGGGATATAATATACATCGTGATTACCATAATTAAAACATTGTATTGTACATTTGAAAGTTTCTGAAAGTAGATCTTAAAAGTTCTCTTCACAAGATTAAAAAACTGTAACTATGTGAGGTGATGGATATTAACCAAACTTATTGTGGTAATCATTTCAAATAATTTGTTGTACACTTTAAACTTACACAATGTAGTATATCAATTATATATTAATAAAACTTGAAAAAACCAAATTTGAAATCAAGGTAATTAACCACTTTAATAGAATGAAGGGAAATACATGATTATCTCATTCACTAATTCAGAAAAAGTATGTGACAGAATCTCCCATTCTTTCATGATAAAAATAACAAGAAATCTAGGAATAGAAGTGAATCTCCTCAAACTGATAAGGAGCATTAATGCAAAACCCACAACTAACATCATACTCAAATGTGAAAGACTGAAATCATTCCCTGTTATATCAGATACTAGACAAGCTTTCACCACTTTTATTCAGATTTCTACTGGAAGTTCTATCGAGACCAATCATACAAGAATAAAAGGATTATAAAGAATACAAATTGGAAAGGAAGAAGAGAAACCATATCATTTTCAAATAATATAATCTTTTATATAGAAAATTCTAAAGAATCTACAAAAGACAATTAGCTAATAAACTTATTCGCCAAACAAAATCACCAAACAAAAATAAGACATGCTTACATACACTAGTTACATAATATTGTAACCCAATGTTACTGCTATAAAAACAAAGATTAAAATTTTAAAAATAAATAAATAAAATGGAAAAAAGAAACAAAAGAGTTTAGGCAAGACAAAAGAAGTGCATTAAAGTCCATTGCTGGTGACAGATTCACAAATAAACAATTGTATTGGAGAAACTTGATAGTTTTTCCAGTATATATCCTCATCCCCTCCCAAACAGCATCCAGGTTGTTTTGTGAGAATCTCCCTGTATCCGTTAGGGTAAACACTATTAGGTGCCATACAAGAAAATTCCAAAATTGCAGTGGCACAGCCATAGAGGTTCTTCTTGCTCTTATATTGTTCAATTAGTTGTTCTATGAGAAGTTACACAGAGATTCAGGGAATCAGGTTCTTTCCCTTTAGTGATTTTTGTCATCTCTTATGGTCTGAGTTCTCTCCAGCCACCTTGTGACAAAGAAAGAGAAAGGACAGAAGATCACATGAGGAGTTTCATGGGCCAGACTTGGAAGTGACACATATAACATACATTTCATTGAGAAGAACACAAGCACATGGCCACAATTAACTGTTTGAAGGCTGAGCTACAGAGCCTACACATATTCCCAGGAGTAAAATGAAAATAGCTTAGAAAGTGGCCAACCAATCTTTTTCATTGAAATTTTTATGGTCATCAAATATCAATTTTATGTTTCCTCTCACTCAGAAAACTTATTATCCACTTCCAGTAGGGTGACAACAAAAATCCCTACTAACCAATAAAGAAGCTCAGTGCCCAGGCTTCAAAGAGATTAAGTGGTCCTCTCCACCCAGTCCTGTTGTGGCTCCTTGTTGTCGAGCAATTTATGCACTAAAAAGAAAACTTAGATCATTCTATATTCACACTCAATAAATAATGTTGGACCAGAATAAAGATAATTAGATTGAAATAACTCCTATTCATAACTGATAGTAATAGAAGATACACAAGATTTCAGTTTAGAAATCTTATTGAATTGGCATTATGAATGTTCTTCAACCTTGCTGATGGGAAATATTTCTTTATGAGACTTATTTTTCTCTTCTGATTTTTATTTTTGGTGAAAACTCCATTTTCCATTATTTTTCTTGATGCATTGTCCAATCTCTTAAATATTTTTTCCTTACTCATTATACTGCATTGCCTCTTCTGAAGTATATCAAATAAAAAGCTACGTCCAACACAAAATTAACACAGAAAATTTATTCATAAATTTGCAGCAAGGGAAACCATCTTCCATCATTTTCATTTCAGCAGGAGTTTAAAGGTGTTAGAAAGGAGTGTAAGTTTATTGAGCAAAACAATAAATATTGAGTCAGTGTATGACTGGGAAACATTTTATTGAGATGTGATTTGAGCAAGTGGGAAAAATTATTCTAACTGTTCTTCAACTATATTTGTCAGTCCTTGTTAGGCTACCAGGAAGAAAGCAAACAGTTTGGAGAATTTCAAAAGAGGAAGGATTGTTCAACATTTTTTGTTGTTCGTGCTGTCAAGTTAACTCTAACTCCTAGTGACTCTGTGTACAGCAAAGCAGAAGCCTGTTCGATCTTTTTGGGCTGTCTTCTCTCCTTCTGGCATTTTATCAGACAATGCTCCACTGCTATTCATAGAGTTTGGAAGTGGATGGCCAAGTCCTTCTTCCTAGTCTGTCTAGTCTGGAAGCTACACTGTCCAGCATGAATGACCCTGTTGGTATTTGAAATAGCAGTAGAATAGAATTCAGCATCACAGCAACACCCAGCTGCCACAGCATAACAACCAACAGATAGGTGGTGTGATTCCCTGAACCAGGAAACAAATTCATGCCAGTGAGCTCTTAACCACTATAATACCAAGGTTGGTATTATGTTCAATATTAGGGGTGGTATTATGTTCAATGTTAGGGGTGGAGAATTTTTTGAAGAAGAAGACTAGCCCTGAGCTAAAGTCTGCCACCAACCCTCCTATTTTTTCTGAGGAAGACTGGCCCTGAGCTAACATCCATGCCCATCTTCCTCTATTTTCTATGTGGGATGCCTACCACAGCATGGCCTGACAAGCAGTGCATAGGTCCACACCCAGCATCCAAACCAGTGAACTCTGGGCCACTGAAGTGGAACGTGCACCCTTAACTGCTGTGCCACCCAAGGGGTGGAGAATTTTTTGAGAATGTCAATTTATTGCAAAAGTTGGAATCACTATCAAGTGGATGTTAGGGAGTATTCTCCCCTTGAATTTTATAGTTTTTACAGCTTAGATAATAAAACTTGGGATTTCTTGATTTGCTTAATGCTTGGTAAAATAATTTTTAAATCAAGACTCAAAGCATCATTTCCAGTAAAACACTCAGGTTAAGCTACTGCTCACAGGGAGTTTCCATTCAATTTGAGGGATATAGATGAACAGGCGAACAAATAAATACAAGAGCTGAATGTTAGTAACAACGACGCGGAATGAGCAGACTGAGGAACGATAGTCAAAGAAGAATGGAGTAACTATTTTATAAAGTAGTTCAGGGAAGTTCTGTATGACTTCCCTGAGCAAGTAACATTTTACAAGCAACCTGAAATGATTGTGAGAGTATTCCAGGCAGAGGAAACAGCCAATAAAAAAGCTCCTGAGACAAGGGCATGCATGGAGCTGTCCAGGAATAGCAAGAAATCAGTATAAATGAAGTGGTGTGAATTGGTGGGAGAGTGATAAGACATGATATAGCTCAACAAAACTATCAACGGAGGAAATAACATTTCAAAGCATTTCTGATAAAAACAGAAAATAGCAGTATTAATATCAGTGCACTAATTTTAGCATAATGTGAAGAGTTGGTAGTCACAAGGTCAAGGTTAAAAATGACTTACTATTCTCCCCACTTTAGTCTAATATAGCATTAATCTTTTAGAAATAGTCATATCAACATGCTTTCTTTTGTAAAAATGATCAGTAACATGTGAAACATTAATTTGTTAAGATACTGTAACTATTTATATCTGGATAAAATGTTCCCCCAAACCACATGTACTTTGTTAAATAAATTTTATTAAAAAGATATTATATTCCCCTACATTTTGGATGCTTGGACCTGTTCCAAAACTAAAGAAATAAATAATATTAGACAAAACTTCATGTCCTACTACCCTCCATGGCTATGAATATTGAGTTATGACATAGAGTATATCTAAGAGGGATGAAATAACTTTTGTGGGTTCTACATCATTAAAAGACTAAACCTAGAGGATATTTTGCCTTCTCTGCAGCCTTCTTGAATGCATTCTTGACCTCTTTGTTCCTCAGGCTATAGACCACAGGGTTCAGCATGGGGATGAGCATAGTATAGAACACAGATGCAATTTTATCTATGTCCATAGAATGACTGGAGCTGGGCTTTAAGTACATGAAGATAATAGTTCCATAGAAGATAGAGACTGCAGTGAGGTGGGAGGCACATGTGGATATAGCCTTCTGATATCCTGCAGCTGAGTGCATCTTTAGGATGGTGATAAATATGAATACACAAGATATCAAGATAACCAGGAGAGCAAAAAAGTTGTTGAAGCTCACCATGTAAACAAGAACCAGCTCACTAACATGTCTATCAGAGCAAGAGAGAACCATGACTGCTAGAATATCACAGAAAAAGTGATGGACCACATTGGGCATACAAAAAGAGAGACAGAATGTGTCTCCAACGTGGACAGCAGCAGTAAGAAAACCAAAGACATAAGAACATATGGTCATATGAGTACACAGAGTTGTCGTCATCATAGTGGTATAATGTAGGGGTTTACAAACCGCTGTGTAGCGGTCATAGGCCATAGAGGCCAAGAGGTAACTTTCCACAGTGGCAAAGACTACAAAAAAGAACATCTGAGCAGCACATGCATTGTAGGAGATGACTTTGTCTCTGATAAGGAACCCAGCTATCACCTTTGGAGTGACTGTTGAGGAATAACAAAAGTCCACTAGAGACAAGTTAGTGAGAAAAAAGTACATTGGAGTGTGGAGATGAGAGGCCAGCAGGATCACCATGATCAGGCCCAGGTTCCAAATTAGAGTGATTAGGTAGATGAGGGTAAATATTATAAAGAGTGGGACCTGCAGTTCTGGGGCATTGGTTAGTCCCATCAGGATAAATTCTTTCACCTCTGTATTATTCCCCATGGATGTGATCTGAGAATCATAAGATACTCTGTAGCAAAGAGAAGTAAAGGAACACATTGATGAAAAAAACCCAGTTGCACAGAAATTGAAATGTACAAGCATTATTTTATTAAAGTAACAATTTGTTCTTCAATATTCTTCATTTTTAAAGCATGGGCATGACAACGGAATTTAGTGATACTTATCTATACAGTAATAGACTTTTTGTATCACCTTCTCAACTTCTTGACTTATTATCTAAGTAAATCAAGTTGCAGGAAGTGATAATGCATTGCCCAAGTTCACATGCCTGGAATAAATCTGTTCCCCATATCAGGCATTTTGAATCTTCTAAGAACTTACCCTTCTATAGTGCTCATGTGCCAGGTGCTTTATACCCATATGTTCATTTAATCCTCTTGTCAACTATATTAGATTGATTATTCCCATTTATATATCTGGTAATTTGGCCACAAAAAGATTGAGTAATTTATTCAATGTCACACAGGTATTAATGGACAAAGCCAAGCTTTAGACCAAATCAAAGTGGTTCTCAACCTAAATGCTGTTAATGAATTTGAATTTATTTTAATTTCATTCAATTTATATTAAATTGTCTCTATTGTACCGAAATTAATGCATGGAGTTGCATAGTTGATTAATTGACAAGTAAATGCATAGTAGATGCAGTGGGCTAAATGTGGCATTAGAGGCGTGTACAACCAACAAAGTCAATTCTGAAAAGAAGGTATAGCATTGAATGTAAAAGCTTTGGCTCTGAGAAGACAAGTGTATGCATTCACATATCAGCTCTACCATTGACTACCTGGGAGACATTGTTCTAACTTAACTTCCATGCGTCTCATTTTATCCATCAGCAAAATGAAGGTGGTGTTGGGACCTAACTCAAGGGATTATTGTAAGAGTTAAAAGTAATGATACATAAAAACAGCACAATGAGCTAACCACAATCCTGATGAGTACTAGTTATAATATTATTATTAGCATAAGATGTGGTCTCTATATTTATTTAGGAAAGTTAGGTGACAGATGCAGATGGGTGATTTTCGAAGTGGTAGACTTAATCTTTCAAATCTCTTTTCCTACTGTCCACTTAGATATTTTGTTTTTCCCTATATTTCTCACTCTATTTTCATGGCTGTGTCAATAATTTTGCATGAGAACTCGGATCTTCAAATCCCCTTTTTGTTAATATTTTTTCTTGATATCCACATTTTAGGTTGTGTTGACTACTCCTATTAAGATAGAATGAGTCTAAGAACTCATTTTTACTGTCATTCCTATCAAGACTTAGCTGGATGAATCTAAGGACTCGTAAAAGATATCCATTGTCTGGTAACCACTATTCTCTACCATCTTACTCCTGGCCCCTAAGCACATTATTATACATGTCTGCATCTTAAATTATTTGCGTTTGTCAACATCTTACCACATAATAATATAATTTATATATATGTAAAATATATATATATTTATATATAAAAATAAGTTATATTTTATATATTATATATATTAATAAGTTATATTTTATATATATATATATATATATATATATATATATATATATATATATATATATATACTTGTTGTTAGTGCCTCTGAGTGGATTCCAACTCCTAGTGACCCTGTGTACAGCAGAGTGGAATCCTGCCTGGTCTTTTTGTGCCATCCTCTCATCTTCTGGCACTATGTTAGACAATGTTCTGCTGTTATTCATTGGGTTTTCATAGCCAATTTTTTCATAAATGTGTGGCCACTTCTTTCTTCTTAGTTTGTCTTAGTCTAGAAGCTCTGCTGAAAGATGTCCACCATGGGTGTCTCTGCTGGTATTTGAAATACTGGGGGCATAGCTTTCAGCATCACAACAACATGCAGCTGCTGCAATATGACAACCAACAGACATATATAGATACACACACACACACACACACACACACACACACACATATCAATTGCTATGTTCTATGATGACCAATATATCTCCTGAGGTTAGTAACAGCTTCTACAGACTGCTTATATGTAGTTTGTCTCATAGATGGAGAGATAGATATATAGGCAATAGATGATATTGATGATGACAGATGGGTAGATAGATATTGAAGAGGACGAAGGGATATATATTGTATATATATACACACTCTCACACACAAATATACAAGTAGTATAATTTACAATTAAGAAAATGGAGGATTTGAGAGGTTATGTGCCTGCTTAAAATTCCACACCTAGTAGGAGATATTTAAGATATAAACCCATGTCTAACTGATCCCAATGCCTGTGTCTTTAGTCACTACACTGTCAGATTTTCTAGATAAACATGTAAAGAAAGGCTTAGATTGTGGGGAAATGATAATGAAAATAGAGTAAGTGTCTTGGTAGCATCATGATCCTCCTTCTGTTGTCTAAGTCATTTCATTCTGGTTAGCTGTGCCTTCAACAATAAGTCAACACATAGTAAAGAGGAGGAATTTATTACCTACTCAATCTGAGTATCATTTATCATAGGTTTTTGCTGTCCTCTTGAGGAAAGCAGCATGAAATTTCATACATATGAACTCTTCTTTCTTCTGATTAAAATGTTTTCAATTTGAATCCTATACTTATGCCAATGTTTCAGAAAAGGTGGCCAAGAAACTGGATTTGAGCTCAAAACCTCATAGAACATGTAGCTTCCCACTGCTTCTGTATCAATTACATTTTTCACTAAAGGTGTATGTTGAATATAGAAGCTTACCTTGCTCTGGAAAAGACGGGAAAGACCACCCTGAATTGCGAGTCTGAAATCAGAAATTCCTCCTGAGAAGGATGTATAAATAATATAGGTGAAATTATCTCTTATGTACTGGTCAAAAGGTTCCAAGTTCCCTCAAGCACAAAGAAATGGAGAAAAAATCAACATGGATCTAGGAAACCAGGGTTTAAGTATTCTCTGTATCAAGGACTTTCTGTGCATTCAAAAAATTATTTACCTTTTGCTGATCTCAGTTTCCTTATCTGTGATAAAGAGATAATAAAATTATCTCTCCATGTACTTTACAGAATTGTATCTGTGAATAGCAAATGATGGTAGATATATTAAAAGACCTTAGTAAGGGTTTAAGTTTTCAACATAAATCAATTTAATTTTTATTGTAGGGTGTTTTCTCTGCCTGTGGTTGCAGTCTCATTGCAAATACTCAGTTTAGAGAGAAGCTGGGGTATGCTAAAAGTATATATCATTTCAATAGATGATGACAAAATTGGCTGTGCTGAGTTTGATCCTTTTAAAATAATATCATACAGCGTCATGATGGGATTTTGAAGCCTAATAATGCGAAGAAAGAGAAATTTCGCAGGCTTGGAATTCTCGGGGGGACAGAGCCCCTGAGAGAGCAATTACTTCTCTTTGTCCTACTTATACAGAGAACAAACAATTAAACTGTGGGCAGGGACATAATTTGATATATTGAGCACCATATACATATATTTTCAGTCTTGCTGCATTTTCTTTTTTCCCCCATCTTTAAAATTAAGGTGCTTTTTATATACATCGAGCAGTTTTATTTAATTAATTCACATTTATTATGATTTTTGATATTTGAAATATATTTCTAAAAATTAAGTTTGTTTTCTATCTGCCACAATTTTTATTATGGTTTTCTCCTTTCCATTTGTTTAGGTGTTATAACTGAATGTTAAGCATTAGAAATTTTAAGAAATTGATAAATACCATCCATATTTTCTCCTCCTGAGTTTACAAAGAACAGAAAAATATGACACCTGTGCCCAATGAGATGGAGATTAAATTCTTCCTTAGTTCTGATAAGTCAAACCGAAAGTTTGGTTCAGATCTGCAGGCCAGTGGACTTCTTTTCTCCTCCAAATTACCCTCTTATTGCCAATGCTGATGGTACTCTACCCGCATCTCCTTGGCACTCAGTGTCCTTGTATAGACCAATGCTTACTATGAAAAAGACAAAGGAGTCTGAAACTTTTAGACTGAGGACTTATTTTACTGCAAGAGTATGTTTAGCCCTGTGTGGGTCATTTAACTTTTCCAGTGGCAACCATGATTAAATGTCAGAAAAAGTAGAATGAAAAATACCCCAGTTTCCCAATCTTTCAGGTGGTACAACTCTGAGTCATGTTTTATACATTGTTTCCAGTACAGTTGAACTTCAGTCGTCCACAGATGTAACCTACTTGCAAATGAAATCACATATTGGCTTCTTTCCTTTCCTTGTCTCCATTTCCCACTATCCTGTCAGTACATTCTCTTGTTAACTCTCACACGAACTACTTGAACTCAAATCACTGACTCCAGAGGTCTGCTTCTGGGGAATCTCACCTGATATGTATCCCAAGATTATAGATGTCTCCTTTACACACCCAGGGAGGATTCTGTCACATTATCTTTATCACACAAAGGGAGAAGGACAGAATGACAGAAGACACCCTTGTTGCAGATAAGCAAGACCAAAAGAGAAAGAGAAAACTAAAAGAACAAAATATGCTCTATTCTGTCTTCCAAATTCCTCAGTCTGATATACTGTATCTCTTTTTTCTTACTGAGACATTTTTGCTCTACTTCTGCACCTTTGGAGACTAAACAAACTATAGCTTTTTGTATATCTGATAGTGTCTTGATTCATCATCTCACTCAAATGGTAGTTTATCATCTCACTCAAATGGTAGTTTATCTGGGTATAGAAATATGGAATGATACTTATTTTGCCTCAGCCTTTTGAAGATATGTGTCTACTGCCTGCTGGCTTTTATTCTTTTCCTATGATGATAAGTCTGACACAAGGCTGATTATTATTACTTTGTATCTTTCTCTGGCATGGTAAAAGTGTCCTCATCCTTGTTTTCCCACTTGCACAACAATATGATCCAACACAAAAATTTAAATGTTTCACAGAAATTAGGGTGATTCTTAAAATGGGTGCTTTAATTTATTCAAGTTGCAAATTTTGAAACATTCTCTATTTGAAAATTTATTTTGTCCTGTTCGCTGTATT